TTATACAATGATATTATATCATTGAATTCAAATTTAATACCATCCATTTTACAGTGACCAACTTGTAACCTACTGTACAGCAGAGCAACACCCACTTGCCCACCTTTTTTTACCTTTAATGGTAAGTTCTAAATACTTTTAGATTCTGAGTGGAACGATTTCAAACATTTTCATTTTCCATTTTTTTTTTGTTTTTTTTTTCTAAAATTTTCAATAATATTTTATTTGTTGGTAAAAAAGCTTGAAAATTGAATACAAGGCTCTTACTATATTGTAACAATAGCATTTGAAAAATATTAAAAATCCTTAGTCACAGTTTTTTCTTATAAGCATTTAAAGTTCAAAAATTGACAAAATATGGAAAAATCACGAAAATAAGCAAATTATTTTGAGTAAAGAATTCGTAAAAATTTTAGTATAGGTTTATTTTTTTTAATTTTTGTTACATGATCCCTATCTATCTAATGTTGTTAGAAGACTCAATTATAACTTGATAGTTACTCAAAAATTAATTTAACTATTTTAAAAGGTGGGTAAGTGGATGTCGCTCTACTGTACTGTAGGTTATAACTTACGAGTGGGTCACTGTATAATGGATGGTATTAAATTTGAATTCAATGATATAATATCATTGTATAAGAAAAACGATTCTGAGCGGAGACGGTATGTCAGTCTAGGTATAAGACATATTATATACTTATCTATAGTATTAAAAAAAATTGAGCTACAATAGAAACCTATAGTAAATTCCAAATTAGGTAATCATATCACAAATCACAATATCCATTGGGTACTTATAACGCATTATACATCAACAACAAACCGTGATACTATCATAGATATATAATATAGTCAAAATTTAAAATTCCCAATAGTTTTTACAAGCGACAAGATTAACAAAAGAAAAATTAAGGAAAAACGGGAATTTTTACGCAAAATCGGTTTTCAAAAAATCGATTTTGGTTTTTGGTGTAACTTTAAAACAAATGACCGTAGACACTTGAAATTTTCACTGGTTGTTTATATTTGCATTTTATATACACGATAAAATTTTCAAAATATTTTGATTTATTTTGAACTGTTTAGGGACATTTTCATTTTCCATCTTTTTTTAGTTTTTTTTCTAAAAATATCAATAAAATTTTATTTGTTGGCTGAAAAAGCTTGAAAATTTAATAGAAGGCTCCTAGTATACTGTTCCAAAGGCAGATGAAAAATATTAAAAATCCTTGGTCACAGTTTTTTTTTATAAACATTTAAAGTAATAATTAATAATAATTAGCAAATTATTTTGAGTTAAGAATTCGTAAAAATTTTTCTTTTTAAATCTAAGATTTGAAAATGTAATACAAGATTCCTTATAGGATTATCTATCTTTATCAAAACAAAAATGTCTATAAGAAAGTCAAATTAAATTTTTATGAGCGTTTGAAATTCAAATTTTTACAACATTGGATATTCACTCAATTTCTCATGTAGCGATTTCCTTATTTTGTTGTAATTCAAAAACGAATAACTGTAGATACATGAAAATTTCACTGAATGTTCATATTAGCATTTTCTATACACTGTACAATTTTGAAAATATTTTGACTCTTTTTGAGCTATATACGGATAATTACCGCTTTCAATTTTTTTTAGTTTTTTTTTCTAGGTCAAATTTTGGTTTAGTACCATAAATATGTATAGGTATAATATGTCTTATACCTAGACTGACATACCGTCTCCGCTCAGAATCGATTTCCTTATACAATGATATTATATCATTGAATTCAAATTTAATATCATCTATTATACAGTGACCCACTTGTAACCTACTGTACAGCAGAGCTCATTTAAAAAAAAATATTTTATACCAATTTAAAATGACAAAATTTATCAAAATCTCGAAAATTATCAATCATTGTAATTAATAAATTATAAAATGTTCAGTTTTTATAGCTAAGGATTGCAAATTTAAAACAAAGGTTCTCATAAATAGTTTATACTGTAACAAAAAAATCTAAAAAATATATGAACACAGTTATTTTTTACAGACATTTTAAATTTAAATTTGGACGAAATTACATATTAAAAAACCTAGAATAACTATTTTAGTTATTTCGTTTTGTTTGTATAATATTATTCGTGGCCTCGTGGGTACTTGACATTTCTAAAGTACCTACACTATTATATATCTATGATAGTATGATAGTATCACGTGATATGATTAATTTGGAATTTATTATAGGTAGGGGAGAGTGGGGCAGATTTGAATGCGGGGTACATTTGAATTTGTCTAATATAATTTGTTACAGATTATTTACATTCATAAAAATAATAATCTAAGTTGGTGACAATATTTTGTATTCCATATGTGATTATCAGGCATTTTTGAACAATTTTGTGATAAATAAAAATGATAATGTGATTTTCCGGCTTTTTAAAAAAAAGAATAGGTAGGTGTTTCCATAAGAACATTTTGGAAACTAAAATTCAAAATCATAAGTTTAGAATTAAATATACCTACCTATTCAAAATATTGTTGCCTAGTAAAACATTTAATGTACATTTAATGTATTATAATTATTAAAATTTATATTACGATTATTATTGATTATTTTGGCATGGGGTAGATTTGAATCTTCATCAATAGGGTAGATAATAGGGTGTAATAAAGGTTACTCCTTTTTGAATACCTATCTTATGGATGGAATATACTAGTTAACTGGATTTATGTCACAAGATGTGGATTTATCTATAAGAAAACCCAAAAAAACTACATTTTCACAATAAAAAAAAAATTGACAAGAAAACATTAAACATAGGTAATTGTAAAAAATTGTTGTTAGGTAGGTATATTATATTGAGTTATTTTTATTATTAAAATAAATAAAAAGTTTAGTTAAATTTAATATTTAACATTCAAATGTGGCTTTTAAGACACATATTCAAATCTACCCCCTGCACGTTCAAATGTACCCCATGGGTGGGGTACATTTGAATAAAAATATACTTCACTTTATAATTAGAAATTAAATTGGTTATTTAATATATATGGTTGTTATAAGTCAAATAGTATTCACAACTATCTAGACTACAGATTGTAATTATCAAACATAACATTTGTCAAAAAATTAAAAATTAAAAAAATTAAATGTAAATTTCATTCAAATCTGCCCCACTCTCCCCTACCTATTATAGGTCAAATTTTGGTTTAGTACCATAGATATGTATATAATATGTCTTATACCTAGACTGACATACCGTCTCCGCTCAGAATCGTTTTTCTTATACAATGATATTATATCGTTGAATTCAAATTTAATATTATCCATTTTACAGTGACCCACTTGTAACCTACTGTACAGCAGAGCGACACCCACTTGCCCACCTTTTTTAGATTTTTTGGTAACAGAATTAACTATTTACATGAAATCTTGTTTTAAATTTTCACCTAAGATATAAAAGTTGAACATTTTATACATTTTTAACTACAAAATAATTATCCAATTTTAACTTTGATAAATGTTGTCAAAATTCGATCATTAAATGCTTGTAGAAAAAAATTGTGTACATGTATTTTTAATATGTTTCCACTAATATTGTAACAGTATATCAGCCTTGTATTAATTTTTTACACTTTTTGGTCCAACATATAAAACTTTATTGATATTTATAGAATAAAAAACTAAAGAAATTGGAAACTTAAAATGTCCGTAAACAGCTCAAAAAGAGTCAAAATATTTTCAAAAGTGTATGGTGTATAGGAAATGCTAACATAAACATTCAGTGAAATATTTATGTATCTACAGTTATTCGTTTTTGAATTACAATAAAAGAAGAAAATCGCTACATGAGAAATTGAGTGAATATCCAATGTTATAAAAAATTGAATTTCAACCGCTCATAAAAATTTAATTTGACTTTCTTATAGACATTTATTTCTTGATAAAGGTAGATAATCTTATAAGGAATCTTTTATCAAATTTTACAATCTTAGATTTAAAAAGAAAAACTTTTACGAATTCTTAACTCAAAATAATTTGCTAATTATTATTAATTATTACTTTAAATGTTTATAAAAAAAAACTGTGACTAAGGATTTTTAATATTTTTCAAATGCCATTGTAACAATATAGTAGGGAGAGCCTTGTATTAAATGTTCAAGCTTTTTTAACCAAAAAATAAAATATTATTGATATTTTTAGAAAAAAAACTTTAAAAAAATATAAATGTGCCTAAACAGTTCAAAATATATCAAAACATTTTGAAAATTGTATCTTGTATAGAAAATGCTATATAAACATTCAGTCAAAATTTCATGTACCTACGGTCATTTGTTTAAGTGTTGAATTTGGTGGAAAACCGCTTTTGAGTAAAAATTACCATTTTTCCTTAATTTTTATGTTGTTTTTCCCAGAGCTTATGAAAATTATTGAGAATTTTAAAATTTGACCTCCCGAATGTACCAACTAGATTGACTTTTCTATCGAACAAGGTACTGTTGAAGAAAATTGAAACAGTTTAACTGTCCCAAACCGTGAAGAAAGACACACAAAAAAAAACCACAATTCATCGTTCCACTCAGAATCTAAAAATGATTATATAATAATATAGCCATTTTATGGTTTATTTTTCTGAAAATGTTCAAACTTTCTTACCAAAAACTTTATTATAATAAAAAAATAAAAAATATTGTTTCTGTGAGTCTAATAAAAAAAAAAAAAACAGATTTATGATATTATATTATATTATATTTATTATTTTAGGTCTCGGGGAGGTATCGCAATGGGTAAATAATCACGGGACACTCTGTATATTGCAGGTATATAAAAATTAAACAGACTTATTAATGTAATTTTTAAATAATATGAAACATTTTTATATTCACACTTTACAGAGTTACACTATACACATAAAATATAGTATTACAATTAAAAAATATAACACAAAACCATTTAAGTAAATATTTACATTATTAATTTTAAGTTATAAGTTATAGGTAACTATAAAATACATCAATCAGATTTTACCTTAAAGAATGATGAACATATTTTTTTGTAAATTGTACGAATGAATTTAAAGAATTTTAAAACAATTAATATAAAAATGAAAATAAATATAAGCATTACAGCGATTATATCTAATAAAAAGTATTGGTACCACGTTAAATTAAGAGCTTGAGATTTTAGGTGTGGTGCTCCTTTGTGACGAATAACATATTCTGTCCAGTAAGCAACAGACTTTTCTGGTGACATTGGTCGGTCTTTAAAAATAGCTGAAGTAATTTTGGCATTTTTAATGTATCTAAAATAATTACATAATATTAGAAATATCAATAAATGTAGGCCATCAAAAAATACTTACTTTTCATTGTTAACAAGATCCAATAAATTTTTCAAAAAAGTGTCTTTAGTAACTGCATATATTTCCATAGATATTCCCATGCCTGCCTCAACTAAATTATCTATGTTCCTATACTGATCACCGAATAATGGAAATCCTAAGACTGGAACTCCAGCATCTACTGCTTCATATAATCCAGATATTCCACCATGACTGATGAAGACCTTAACATTTTTGTGCACTGTAAATCATTAAAAAAAATATTAATAAAGTAACAACTTGTGTCGAAATTTGGTTTATTGTAAAATCTTACAAAGAATATCTCGTTGAGGAAACCATTTTCTTGTCATGACATTTTTTGGTTTATCTTCCATTTCGCCCTCGTATTTCAACAAAACTTTTTGTGGAAGTTCAGCTAATGCTTCTCTAAAAGCAGTTAAAATATATTTCGGAATTGAAGACATCGCAGTAGTTGAACCAAATGTGAATAAAATGACTCCATGTGGTGAATCTTCAATAAAATCCAATATATCCTGGAACCAATAGTTTTCATTGTAAAAACAATTTAATTCTTTTATTTATAAAATAGTTAAATTACTTATTTATTAAGTGTACAAAAATATATATTAAATTTGTAGAAGAGCATTATTTTATGAAAATATGATAAAACACCATAAATATTAAATTAATAGGTTACTAAAATTTATTGTTTCTATAATCACAAATATTTTATTATATTATATCTAATTTCAATAATAACTTTTGACTTCTTATAGGTGAAACTCATATATTATTAGAAATAATTTAGTTCTTTTCATACTCAAAAATCTTATTTTATTACTAAAAGGTTAAAATACTGGTTTTAAATAACCCCATTAATTTATAAAATGTGAAATTTTTTAAAAACTAATTAATTTAGAAATAATAATATTATATAAATCCTAGGTATGTCTTCAATCTTGTGCATTTATTCAAATTATTAAAAATTAAATTAACATTTTGATTAAAAATTAAGTAGGCACCTATTTAGCAGATTTACTAATTTGTACCGTAAAATTTTTAGGTATTTAATTGTTGAAAACAATTTATAGAATAATTTATAGAATAACTTTATTTATAGAATACATCATGGCTAGGTTCGGTTAGGTTAGGTTATAATGATTTACATACAAAAAGTAATTATATCCCACCAAAAACATATATGCAAAATGAGAGCAAAGTTCAATACTATAATATATGCCTTGGTTGTTGACTTCGACGACAAAAGAAGTGAGATCTAAATGGGTGCCAACTTAGGATAATATATTGAAGCCCAAGTTCTGACTTGGCTATGAATTATATTATAGCCTTCGCAAGTTCTAAAGCTTTGAGTTCTTATTTTATTCTTCCGAAAATCATCTTCACTCTTCTATTACTGTTTTAGTAGGTACTTAATAATAATTCGTAATGAAAACTAGCCAAGTCAGACCTTAGGCTTTAATATAATATCCTAAGTTGGCGTCCCAGCTTGGCGCCCATTTAGATCTCATTTAAACAAGTAAGGCATATATTATAGTATTGAACTTGGCTCTCATTTTACATATATGTTTTTGGTGGGTTATTGAAATTTACTTTTTCTATTTTGATTAAAAATGATGTAGGTACCCATTTAGCAAAATATGTCTATTGTACGGATATTATTTATACGACTCATTATTTAAGATTTTATTATAAAATTATTACCTTAGGTATTTTTTTGGATGGTTTTAAATGAATGCCACCAACATTCACAACATTTGACGGAGTTGGTCTAGACTTATCGCTTATGAAATGAGTGTTCATAAAGACCAATGACGGAGGATTTATTGTTCCTAAGTCATAAGGTTTTGAATCGAATAATTGAAGTAAAAATTCTTGAAATTTAACTATTATACTGGAGTACAACCAAATAAGTGTATTCGTGAACCGTTGAATAAACGTTTTAGGAACAGCAAAATTAAATAACATTGGTGATACCGTTGCCGGGTTACTGACATCGCCATAAGTAATACGTTCTGTATAAGTATTTATTGGAATCGGAGTCGTGTATATCACTGGCAAATTTGAGTTTGCTCCCAGGTACGATAAGCAACCTGAAACTATTCCAGGTTCAATGACAATTGCATCAAAATCGGTTTGCAATTTGTTTTCCAAAAAATCGTTTAGTTGATCATTATTGTGCAATATTTCGCAGCTTCGTCTACCATCATTTTTCATCATAAATGAAATTGGTGTAAACCAATTGTTGAATAAATTTCTCATCCTCACTATACTCATGTTAAGTTTCATGGGAAATATATTAGACATATCTATTTCTGTATAGTTTTCTCGATTACCATCAAGAAATGGTGTAAATACCGTTACATTGTGTCCATTGTCCGTCATTGCTCGAAGCACAGAGCTCATGAAATTCCAATGACTCTTGCCTGCAAATGTCTCAATAGCTAATATCCGTGCAGTATTTCCTGATTGAATACACGTATAACTGACTAATGTAAAAATAACAATTGAAATCATCGATTTATGCGACATTTTTAATTTTGTGGTATAATTGCTCAAAATTGAGTAGGCACGTAACGCGAACTATAAGTGATTGATGGTTGTTTAAAAAAACAATGCGTTCTTATTCTGTCCGCACTCTGTTTATATACTGAACCACTTCAATTGGCCCATTATCTTCTACAAAAAAAAAAAAAAAAAATTGTTACTTAATAATACTATATTAATATGACTAATTAAATATAAAATAAGTAAGTAGTTTATATTTAAATATTACCAAACTTTATTTACAGTTTGCTTTCAAGAGATATATGTATTAAGTCATTAAGATATGGTATACAGCACTCAAAACGTTCAGATTATGCAGTGAAAAAATATTTTAAGTTTCTTTCCGTTCTTATATTTGTAGGTATTATAACTGGTTATTACCATACTCTACCAGGAAAAAAATAAACAAATGTAAAATACAGAGGAGCTGTAATTAGGGGAAGGTGATAAAAAAGGACCATTCAAAATTCCTGGAGACCATATTTTCAAATACTTGAGATTTTTTGTACCACTTAAGGATGATCCTGTGACAATACAATCTTATGTTTTTCAAATAGGAACCCACCCTTTTCACTTATAATTATTCAGCAGATATTTTTTTGAGAACTTTGATGTACCTACCTATTTCAAAATTTGAATGAGTTGTTTTTGAGATATATAACTTTGTGATATAACATCTAATATATAGCTTATATTTTTATAAAACCATATTTAAGGATTATTATCCTTGGTACAAACATTTTGATAACTCAGAAACTACTTATTAGTTATTAGGATTTTGATTTAGGTACATCAAAATTTTCATAGAAATTACCAGCTAAAAAAAGGAGAAAGGGGTTCTCATTTGAAAAATAGAAGTTTGTATCGCCACAGGACATTCCTTAAGTAATACAGAAAATATAAGGAATTTAAAAATATGGTCTTTAGATATATTTAAAATTTCTAAGAATCAGAATTTGAATAAATGTAATACTAAGGGAAAAAATGGGGGGGGGGGGTGAGCATGTTTAAAAAATCACCCTATATAGGGGTGAAGGGGTTAGGTGTTCCAACCCAACCCAAAAATAAAAGTAAGTTAGTGTAGAATTATTATGAATAATACTGTCAACATTTCCAAATGATTATACTATTGTGTAGGTTGTAGGTACCTCTTTCATATAACTAAACATGTTTTTGATTTTTAAGACATCAACTACATGGTTATTAGTTTTTTTTACTGGGGGGGGGAGGGTATGGTTGGTTTGGAACCACGTGTATAAGGGCGAGGATTTGTCACTAAAAACCCGGGTGGTTACCCATCCACAAGCTAGCGATGCTGGCCTATGCTTGACCTAAGAACATTCAAGTGACTGTGCCACACCAGGCCCCAACTAAACATATTATATAATATTATAGGTATCACACTATATTTATTTTAAACTTTTGAGGAATCTTGTACTATACATATTTAAGCCTTAAGACATTAAAATTAAAAATGTTATACGTTTTTAACAACAATAAATATTATTGTGTAATGTTCATACTATTATGTTTTATTTTGACAAATATTGTAAAAATTTAAATTAATTAGGATTTGAACTTTTATGAAAAAAATGTAGATTATAGATTTTTTAAATTATGATGAATCCTAAGTTACATTTTTAAATATATTTTTATTATTATTTATTTATTTGTTTAATCGAGTTAGTTTATCTACTCATCTCTATTAATATAAACAAAAATATTGAGTTCTGTTAAAAGTATATACTTATTATTTTGTAATATTTTGTATGTGTAGACTGTAGAAACTATAGATAAATAAAACTAAAAGTTATTATCTAAATAAATGTTGGTATTTTAAGTCAACTACTCATTCTGTGTGCACATGCACAATATTTCTGTGTATTTAGAAACTAATTCATGATTATAATGTTGAATGCATAAACTTAATATAATAAATCTAAACTTTATGGCGTGGATTGTAAATGTTATAGTACCTACCTATCATAAATAACTGAGTAACTCATATTATATTTTCAGAATTTTCATTTTTCAGACATTAAAATTATTTCTGAAGTACGGACCCTACTTAATTATTGTACAATTGTAGTTTGTACATACTTACTAATAAGGCGTCCGCAGGATTTTGTCAATTCAGCGAGAGGAATTTTAATTTTTAGTCTCACTATCCGATTAGTTATACGTTTTATTTCATATAGGTAGGGAATATAAAATGTATTTATGAACTATGTGTAGATAGTTAGTATTATAAATAAACTATTTAGTAACTAAAAAATAATTCTATTCTAAGGGACACGGGGTAGTAGTCCAAGAGTAGAGTACCTATTATTTCAAAAAATATTAATTTTGTTATGTTCTATATTCCATAATGTTTGTCGTATGTTTACATGACCAAGAAAAAAGCCAAGGTGGAGGGAACTGCCCCTACCTGTCTTCTTTTGAGGACACCCTTGTCTTCTATATATCAGTACAATTATATATTTTAAAAATCTTAAATTTCAACAGCCAATTTTATTATAATATATTATAACAAGGTGTCAATAATAGTAAAGTTAAAATTATTATTAATATCAAAGCTATTTTGATATTATTTAGGGTGGGCCAGTGTCCTAATGTTTTTTTATACAGAAGTTATTAGAAAACATGGAGGCCCAATGTTTAATTTATCACTTCAAGCCACTAGCATTATGCATTAAAGTAGAAAAAAAAAACATTAGTATATTATTTTAGCTGAACAATTCAGTGTATCCATAGATGATTTTACAGTATTGTAAAAATTAAATAACTCTTAAAATATATTGCTTGCTCTTTTAATTTTCTTGTTTTCCATAGATCACCATCATAATTTGGGAACCGCTGGTTAAGACCATTGATCAACCACTTAAACACAACTGACTACTATTTACTGTTACAAAACATTAAAGAACATTGTTATTTTTTATACCACTTAGGTAGTGTTATAGACAAATAATAATAAAAAAAAAAAAAATAATAATTAACTACATTAATTTAATCAATGATAATATTCACTATTCAGCAACCTATCTATATTATGTTAGAAAATGTAAAATTTTAATAAATGGAATTTATAAAATGAAAATATTTGTATCAAATGAATAATTTATATAATTATCATCTTCGTTTCTTTTAGGGTATGGGGAACATACAATGATGACAACATTTATTAAGATATGGATTATTCAATTTTATCGTGGCGCTGCTATGTTCCATTTTAAACCTGTAGAAGGTTTACAAATTTTGGCTATTGTAAATTGTTGAAATAGCTGGATAGTCATTAATACTTAATGTGAAGAATACTTAGTGCATTATTATTAACAGACCACAGCCATAAAATAACAGTTTTGACACCATTTCCTAATAGTGACCATGAAATTACACAAAGTTAAATGTATCTAGAAATACCTATATAGTAATTAGATCATTGATACGGACATACGGTTGGACATTGACTATATAGTGTAAAGAATTTACTACATATTATGATTTAATTTTTTTTCAAAAGTATGTATTTACAATCTATACGACAAGGTATAATAAGTAAGTGTGGTGACATAAAATAACATTAATTGTAGAGTAGGAAAGCTCCCAGCAGTTCCACCTGACAAGAAATGAAAATAAGGAATTGAAATATTTTTTTCAAAATTAAAATTGGACTAATGGAAGTAGGTATATATTTTTGCTCCCGCTTATTATTGGTCTAAATTTACGAAAAACAACCAGCTTTCAACAGCATGGAATTGCTTTGATTACCCTATTGGAAGGCAGGAAGAGGTGTATCGTGTACCTCGGATTGTTTAAGACCATTCTAACATGTTTGGGTTATTAGTGTGCTCAAGTGCCTAGTTGCACCATTGATAGTCGATAAAGGGTCTTTTAATCTGATCGACTGATTAAACCTATTAAACATAAAACTCATCATAATATTTAGATGTCCAGGGCCAGTTTTAAGAGGGTGCTCCGGTGGACAAGTGCCCGGGGATGTACACTTTGAGGGTGGAAAAATTATCCCAGATAAAATTAACAAAAAATTTAATTTTTCTTTGTAAAAAGAATATTGATGTGAAAAAGTATGTGCTGAACAATAAATAATTAACTAGGTACCTTCAATGATATAAATATTTTAGTTTAAAATTGTAATATTTTTCATGTAATCTTATGTGCGTTAATCCTCTGATATTTTTACTAAACTTTTAAAATTTGGATTTTATATAATAGTCGGTTATTAGTATTAAAAAAAAAAACAACAAAGCAAGCAAGAAATAAATCCCTCTTTACTATGTTTATAAACAAATAACAATGAATATTACATCATAATCAAAGGAGCAGCCAAGGGTGGCAGGAGGGGCTATGCTTCCCCCGTCCGCAGAGCAAAGACTGTGTAAAAATTTAAAAATCCACTTGATAGCACCCCCTGATAAAATGTCTAGTTACACCCACAATCGCATAGTCGTAAGTGTTGTACTTGTCACTACTCACTTGTCTCATCTAACAAATGGATAACATAGCAACTAGCAAGACATTTAGAAATCACACATATGAATTATGAAATAAAAGTTTAGTGCCACCTTAACACAAAACACTTCAAGTATTGAACATTAAGTGGTAACGTAACTAAACAGAATGTATAATATTAACAAAAAATGAGAACATAAGACTAAGACATAACAACACGAAACAAAACTCGCGCCAGCTGTACCTACTGCCTAGTGCATACTGAAAACCGAAGCATTTAAGCGTACTTGTCCATGGTTCACACTAATCCATCACAATTCACTAGTTGGCGAAGGAAAATAACATTGATAACGTTGTTATCCACCATGCAGCAACAGTTGTACCATAGACCTTGTACTATAGTAAATAAGGTCCATGAGCAGTACACAGATTTCTAAATATTACTATAGATACTATCTAGTAGATAGCGAACTCCGGCCAATGGCCATGAATTATTGAAGCTTCAAGATCGG